TTATCAATCTGAGTGTAAATGTAATCGAGAAGATGGTAGGAAGCTGTTTCAATGGATCTCTTTTTAACAAAACCGTGCTGAGAAGTTGAAAGTATGTTGTTGCTTTCCAAGTAATCGGTTATTCTATTTACTATTATCTTTTCTATTAATTTGGATAAAGAACAGAGCAGCGATATTTGCCTGTAATTGTCAATTTCATTTAAATTGCCTTTTTTGTGGAGAGGAATCACAAGTGCCTTTTTCAAAACATCAGGAAAGATTCCTTGCACCAGAGACTGATCTATAAGAAAAGTTAGTGGTTCAATAATAACGGGAAATATATGTTTGATGGTAATAATAGACATTTCGTCCATACCGGAAGATGATTTGTTCTTTATTTCAAATAAGGTTTTTGATATTTCGTATTCGGTGATGGGTGGCGATTATGAGTACATATTACAAATCACACACCAAAAAATGTGTTTCCACTGAATTGCGCGATGAAATCAAAAATTGATAGTAAATGGAAACTTGTAATCTAGACTTTCTGATATATTGATAACCTGAATATTATGTTTTGGCAAGTATTTTTAGTAAAAATGCAAACAAATGTTTGGGTGGAAAAACGTAAAAGTTGCTGGCTCTTCAAAATTTGTTTTTTTTTTAAATATTTATTATGGGGGCCTGTGAAGGCCCTGAGTCAATAGCCCCGCGTCAGTAGCCTAGCCTACCCCTTCCCTAGATCCGACCCTGGGTTGAATATGTTTATATATGGAATATGTGCTTATGTGCTTGTGCTTATGTCATAAGCACAAAAACATCTTTCTTTTCAATTACATCGCAATCTAGATTATTACTTTTCACTGGAAAGGATACAACAAAAACTAACTTGTAAGTAATTTTTTATTCATACTGTGATATTTTTCATTTTTCTGTAATATTTGGAATGAACAAAGGCATATTTTAGGTTATTCTTGATAATTGGACGTGGATTGCAAACAATAAAAAAAATATTCAAAAAATATTCTGGTTTATGTTGAATATTCGGAGGCCTTACGAATCTAGGAAAAAACTTTATTTGGTTGAACATGAGTTTTCGACATTTTCAGTTCTTCAGAAGATAACTAGTGAGTTTTATTTCTCGTCAAAATGTGTTTTTTGAATCTTTATTGTGGGGGACCAGGTCTGCAAGCTTTTGGATCTGATGTTTCGCTGTAAATTTGGAAAGACCTCATTGGATGATATGCAGTAATGATGAAAATAATCTATATTGCTGTGATAAGAAAACTAAAAATAGACCTTCGGTAATGTCTGCAGCAGTTGCAGAAAGAACGTCAGGTCCAGTCGAAAGCGACTGAAACAAGAATGTCAAATAGACAACGTTCAGGAACAATTCCAATATATTTACACAATTGACTTCAATGTCGTTATCAATCAAAGAAGGCATGAACACAGAATGACATGATTTGATTCAACTCATTCGTGATAGAAAGTCGTAATTTTATGAATGAATTGGGTGCCTCATCTTGTTATGTTATTCAGGTTGGTGCTGAAGAGGCAATGAAGTGTCGTGACGTCGTGAAACAAGGGATAAATATGACATGAAACTCATGCAATTGACTTACCCTGAAATAGTCAACTCTGTGATCATCTTCGAGAGTACCAGTGGTGTCGGACAAACCGTTTTCTGTTATGACAATTTCTACATCACCGTAGTTTTTCTTCAGCCATACAAGAAGTTTCCTAAGTCCCCATGGAACAACCTGCATAAATGAAATATTTTCATTATCAGAAAGGTGTTTTGCGATACAAATTATGTACAAAGATGCATTTGAAAATTATTAGCCCACTATAGAAGCGAGCAAAATTTGAAAGTAGAAGTATTTTGTTACACAACATATTCTTTTCTTGATTTTATACATTTATGATAGAAAACCTTCAAGCCTGTACAGTTTAATGAAAGTTCTAGCTTGGTTTGCAAACCAGGCTTCCACAACTTTTACCACCTCTTCGTTGTAAAAAAATATGGTTCTTCTGAGACTTTCTATCAGATGAAAAAAGACGTGATAGTTGGGCGGAGCCCGACCTGCTAAACAGGAGGAGATTTTTAAGTAATTCGACCAAAAATCATGAATTGTTTGCGTGGATCGTCTTCTCTCCATATTTTCTTCTCGTAAAATAGTCAGAAACAGTTATTTATCTACTTTTTTCCAGAAAGTCAATCATGACTATCACTTGACAACTCCAAAATACTTTTCCAACAGATGGATTTTTTTTCAGATATAACAAATAGTAATTCTCAGTTATTTATCTACTTTTTTTCCAGAAAGTCAATCATGACTACCACTTGACATCTCCAAAATACTTTCCCAACAGATTTTCATACATGAAATTTTTCATTTCAGGAACTGAATAATCAAAATATCTTCAGATTTTTTCAGATTTTTTAAAATTCTTTGTCTCAAATTTCAATTTATTGAGTTGACCCGTTTAAAATTAAAGAAATGCACTGTATAACATTTTAATGGACTGTACTTCTACCTATAATACTGAATAAAATATGAAAAGAAATTACAAAAAAGTCATGTTTCATTTACTATCCTAATTAAAACTAATTATAGGTGCAACACTGGCCAGCAAGGGGCTTCTCGTAATCCAATAGTAATTTAGTTGGGAAAGAATCAGTAATAGCTATTAAGCAGACCTGTGTTGAACTTACTCACACCCTCCCTTATAAAACTGAGCAGCCTATCAGGAGAAGGTGTCGGCATCCCAAATTTTGAAATATTCAATTTGCCTTTTCAAAATTTGGGGGGTTACAACTGTATGTGGAACTTACCGAAAACCAGTCACCAGCACCTTTAGTCCACTCAGGTTTGGACCATTCATAGGTGCTTATATCAGCTCCAAAGCTTGGTTCACCAATCGGCGCTTCTTGTGCCGCAGATGCCATGTGAGTAGCGTAATGGTTAAGGCCCAAGTAGTCGTACGTTCCTTTGATCAGCTTGATTTCTTCTTGAGTGAATTCCGGAAGACGGGAAACTGCGAAACCTTCCAATTTGCTACGCATGGCCACACGATCTTTGACAAGTTTTGGCCAGTCTCCAAGGAAAATCGGATTTCCAAACATACCGAACTAGAAAGAAAAAGGATTTTCAAATGGAGCTTCTCACTATCCGGTACCATGCATATTATTTGCATAAAATATTGAATATACGAGGTTGCGTTTTATGTTTCGGGATTTTCGGGTGTTGAATCCTGGTAATTGACAGCTCTATCATGAAGTTGTACATTTTTGAGCTTATACGTACTCAGAACATACGCGCGCTATTTGTGTTATTTACAGTAACTTAAAAGATTCATCTCGGCCCAAAAATGGAATTCAATCGTGAACATTCTCGTGCGAATATTTTTTACAATTTTCGACGTAGATTAACTCAGTAACAGTGCATGGATTTTGGCGATTTTTGGCGATGAAGCTCCATCTAGGACCAGTGTTTATCAATGGTATGGTGAATTCAATCGTAGTCGTAGTTCACCCCAAGACGAATTCTGTGAAGATCGTCCAATATCAGTTATTGTTCCAAAAACCATTGATGCTGTGCGCGAACTGATATTGCAAGATCGTCATGTGACCTATCGTGAGATTGAGACAACCTTAGGCATTAGTGGGACCAGCATACATTCAATATTGCTGAAACATTTAACTGTCAAACAAAATGTGTACGTGTTGGATCCCACACAGTTTGTGAATCCCTCAAAAAAAGGCTCGTGTCGATTGGTCGAAGGAAATGCTCAAAAAATAGGATCGCGTTGCTTCGAAACACGTTTATGACATCGTGACAGGTGATTAATCGTGGATTTACGAGTATAAGCTCGAAAGTAAACAGCAGTCGACTGTATGGGTGTTTGAAGAGGAGCCAAATCCAACAAAAGTGGTTCGCGCACGAAGCACTTCCAAGCAAATGGTCGCCTGGTTTTTCGGAAAAACTGGACATGTCGCAACCGTACCACTAGAACAACGCAGAACAGGCAATTCTGAGTGGTACACAACCATTTGTTTGCCAGTTGTCTTCCAAGAAATCAGGAAAACCAACCGCCGAAGACAGATCACTCTTCACCACGACAATGCGAGCTCTCACACATCGGCTCAAACAACTGCAATTTTGAGCACCCAAAACATCGATTTGATGAGTCATCCGTCGCACAGTCCTGACTTGGCACCGATTGACTTCTTTTTATTCCCGCACGTAAAAAACAAACTGAGAGGTCAACGTTTTTGACACCTGAAGAAGCGGTTGCTACATTCAGAATGCATGTTTTGGAAATACCTCAATCAGAGTGGCAAAAGTGCTTCGACAATGGGTTCAACCGCATGCAAAAGTGTATAGGGAATATTTTAAAAAACAAGTAATTTTCGATGATTAATATTTGTTTTTGGTTCTCTAATCCCGAAAATATTATTAAAAAACTGATTATTTTTGAAAACTTCGCCACCCTGTATCTCAAAAGTTAAGGCGTTTAGGACATACGTCCATAGGACGTTTTTTCCTTAAAATGGGTCTAAGAATGACCTCCTTAAATATTAGCATGTGTTCAAGGAACACCCTGTGTATTCTAAGCTTAATATGAATATCACCATTTGGGGACACTCATCAGAAACAAATAGAACATTTATAATGCAAAAACGTTTCATTAGACTAAGTTTTGATCTGAAATACAGAGAATCTTATAGTATTTATCTTCACAAAAGATTAAGCTACGTTCATGTACATTCCCATTTGCTAACAAGAAATGAGGAAATTCACTCTCATCAAAAGAGACGGAGAAACGAATTCCATCAGGTAAAAATAAACCGTAATGAGTACAAAGGTTCGCCACTTTATGCCGGGGCAAAATATTTTAACTTATTACCACACAGCATCAGAAGTGAAACAAATTTTTTCAAATTCAAGAAAAAAGTCAAAGACTTTTTGGTAACAAGTTGTTTTCATTCCCTGAAAGAGTATGAAAATGATATCTTTGTGTAACATGTGTTGTTATTAATATAAGTGATATTAGATAAAATATATTTGTAAAATGTGACGTGTCATATATACATTCTTGTATCAAAAATGATGAATAAATTTCATTTGATTTGATTGAATAACAGTGCAAATACAATGTGGATTCTAAAATGATTGAAAAACTTAATCGTTGAATGGTTTGATGATGCTCATCGGTGTAAATTACAAATAAGTTGTGACATTTAAATAGATGAGCCTTCAGGCTGCTCTTCTGAGTATAAGTTTTCGTACATGGCATACAAGCAAACTGCGGAGTTTTTCCACATTGGTACTTCAGGTGCCGTTTCAGGTTGTTCAGTATAATTTGGGACATTTTGGGCATGTATGGTACATCGAGGAGCACCTACAGCCTGTTGTGCGGCCAAAAATTCTTCATCTTGACTTTGATTACCCATATGCCAACCCTCGAAAACTCGATGCTTCCCCTGCATTGCCACGACTAGGACCAACCTGATCATCCATTTGTTCCATATTACCAAGATCATCGTCATCTATAGTCAAATCCTCATTCATATCTTCTACATATTCAGACTTTGATGCAAGCATCAGTTCTGTATGGGCTATCGGCTCTCGTGCGTTGCTCTATTGTTTGTGTAATGCCGCTGTTGGCTGAGGACTTTTCGATGGAGGTGGAGCTGGAGAAGTGTTTCGTTCGGTATCGCCTTTCCTATTATCAGAAAGACCTTTTATTTGTAATAACTATGCTGCTTCAAGTTTTTGGAAGCAACACCTGAAAATATGGACTACATGCTGATTAAACTACTTTGTGTGCATTTAGATGTTTTCCTTCCGCTGCCAATGTGCAGACCACTAAGATACCATTTGCCAATAGCGTTTCAAAAACAGCTACTAGGGTTGACTGATGGTTGTTCCACCTCTTCCAACTGCTGGTCGTCATCCATTGTTAACTATTTTGGCGCACTAAAACTAAATATCGCAATATATAGTCACTTGTATTTCGCTTTTCAGAAAATTACAGTGTTTATACTTCGTACAATGGCGTTGAACTCCGTTGGCTGAACTATTACAGAGGTGGGTGAAAGTAAACGTTGCGAGAAAACTTAGAGAACGGTATCACAAAAACATTTCTATCATGAGAGACTTGTCGAGATGAGAAAACTAATTTTATTTGTATTTCTCAAAGTTTCAATTTCATGAGGAATTAATGGTGGAAATAACTTGCTAACCACTTTGAAGTACAATCATTCTTCTTATGCCATAGGAAATGAACATCAAATATCTCAAAAAATATGTTTAAAATCTGTGTTTCCGTTAATTAGCTGTCGCTCTCATACAAACGACAACTCTCAGAAGTTGAGAAACTTGTGCGAGCTAAGGACTAACGAGGTATTACCTTTTAACGTGTGATTCCTAACACGTTATTCCTTAAAACATACAGTTGATTACGATGATTTTTCTAATAGTGATTTTTATTGTCGACTCAGCATACAACTCTTTCCATTAAACTGATTTAGAGGAAAAAATTGCAATGTTTTTTTGAAATATAATGTCATTCATCCTTACCCCAAATTGCAGAAGTCTTTCTGAAGCATCTATATCTCCAGGATTGTCACTTGAAGGTTCGAACCACAGGGTATCAATAACCATGGAAACTTTACCTATTACAAAAATTTAAATGAAAATTTTTTGCCAAAAAAATTATCCTATCGAATTTGTTTATTTTTAGTCATGTGTGTCGAAATAACCAATGAAACCATCATTACACTGATAACTACCCATGGATAGTTTTCACGGGTAGTTATCACTTATGTCATGACATTGCTATTATCCCTCGAACATTGATAAATAACTCATAATTTTATCACAACTTCCTCAAGCACGTTATTTTAGATAACATGTTACCAAATAGCGTGCTTTCGAAAACTGTGATAAAATTATTTCGTTAGTTATCAATGTCCTTGGGATATTATAGCTGAAAATACCATTACTCCTACAAACATTTTATCAAAAATTAAAATCATTTATAACTGGTGAAATATCATTTCAATAAATACTCCCATCTGTACATAGCATGAAATCTGCACAAATCAGTGTGATCTTAAAGAGTTTTCTAAGTGTCTGAAATTATTTGTCATACTGAAGCTGTTATATTTGAATCAGAAGATGGTACAACAAGGGGAATGAAATATAAAAGTAGAGTAAATACAAAATCATACTACATGGGCAGTTATTACTAACCTTCAAAAGAAAGCTGTTGAAATTTCATGGCATTGTGCTCATGAGTTTGTGAGTCCAAGAGTGAAGCCAGTTTTGAACGAAAAATGCTGCGTTTTCTTTCTTGGGCCCGGGAGTGAGAATAAGTTTACTGTCAAATATTTGAAAACCATTGTGTATACTTTCAAATTATTTTCACCAAATGAAACGAAATCAATTTGGAATAGTGAGGACGTCATATCAACGCGATAGAAATTGTTCGTCTACCGATTCTGATGTAATAAATTCAATTGTAGGGATAAATAACTCATCAATAATTGAACGAGCTCAACATTCAGTTGTGGAGTACTATGCTACATTACGTACCTCCTTGTTTAGACCTGTACTGTTCATCATAAATCCGGTAAGCTTTCGCATGGGCTAAAATGACATTTTTATTGCAAACATATTCTCCAATTCCTCTCGACACAATTCCTGGAGCGAACCTTCCATCGCCATATCCAGCATTGCAAACCTGTTTTGGCTCGTTGATAGTAACCCACCATTGAACATCATCTCCAAACAATTCGAAGCACAGTTTAGCATAGTCTACGAACAGATCCACGACAGTTTCATTGAGCCAACCTCCATATTCGTCTTGGAGTGGTTGAGGCAAGTCCCAATGGTACAGAGTAACCATGGCTTGGACATTATTGTCTTTCAGTTCTTTCAACAATTTTTTGTAATACTGAACTCCTAGCTGGTTGACACTGTCGATCTTGCCAGTTGGTAGGACTCTTGACCAAGCGATAGATAGGCGGTAGACGTCTAGGCCCATATTTTTCACCAAGGCTACGTCTTCCTTGTATTTGTGGTAGGAGTCACAAGCTACCGCTGGTGTGGATCTGTCACTTATCATCTCTGGTCGAGTACGAGCGAAGTGATCCCATATTGTTTCTCCTTTACCATCCGTGTCCCATGCTCCCTCAATTTGGGGAGCGGCGTTGGCCACTCCAAGTTTGAAGTTTTTCGGAAAACGCCGTTTGGTTACCACTGTGTCGTCTGCCGAACTGAAAAAGACGATTCATATTCGATGGATGGATAGCAAATCAAGAGTCAAGTGGCAAGACAATATCTCGGATTTTGTTGTAATGAAACATGGAGTTCCGCAGGGCTCTGTTTTAGGCCCTCTACTTTTTATAATCTATGTAAATGATATGATGTTCAATTTGTCCAAACCAACTAATATACATGTAACTAGTTATGCTGACGATGTCTCCATCATACATTGTAACAGGGACAAATGTATTGTCGAACAAAATATAATGGAATCTGAAGAATTACTGAAAATATGGAACAAAAGCAACTATCTGACATTAAATCTGGACAAAACACAAAGAATCTCTTTCACACTGAACAATACGATAGCTAATAATGATATTAAGTTATTAGGAGTGCATCTAGACGTCAGTTTAAATTTTTTGTCACACATAAGCCATTTATCCAAACGGTTATCGACGGCAACTTTTATTATTAGACAATTGAAGGGCAAGCTAACTGAAGAATTCATCAGGGTATCTTACTTTTCAATATTTCACGCAGCAATGACGTATGCTATAGTTGTTTGGGGTGCATCAAGTCATACAGCCAAAATTTTTGTCTTGCAGAAAAGAGTTCTAAGAATTATGGCAGGGGTTGATTATAATGATCATTGCAAACCACTATTTAAAAAATTTAAGATACTTACACTTCCCTCTTGTTTCATATATGAATGTTTGATTTATATAAAAAATAAAAATATTCGTGGTGATACCGTCAAATATGAGCAGGTACATGAATATTTCACAAGAGGAAAAAGTGATATAAGACTGCCAAAGCCTAGAACAACTAAGATCAAACAATCATCTCTGTATCTATCGATAAAATTTTTTAACGCTCTTCCTAAGAATCTGAAAAACGAAACGTTGAGTTTGAGCAACTTCAAAAAGAAAGTAAAGAGTATTCTGATCGAGGAATGTTTCTACTCCTTTGAAGAGTATTTCAATTACTTTTCATATCCGATACCCTATTTGTAATCAAGTAACTGAATTTATGTATTTATGAAGTATACAAAGCTATACATATTTGTGTTTGAATATGTTTTTGTTGTCTGACAAATGGTGCTGATTGTAATGGATTTTAAATAACTTAATTATTCGCTGTAATTTTCACATTTTTACTTTCTGTTGTATGTTTTATGGGACGTATGTATAAACACTTTTGTGTAACAACATGAATAAAGTATCTATCTATCTCTCTATCTATCTATTAACAAATTGTCTGGCATGATGTAAATTGTTAGAATAACATGAAATAAAATAAGATATAAATCATAACTTGTAAATTAAATTAAATTAAATTATGGGTGCATAGATAGCTAACTATAAAGTCATGATAAATTAAAATGGAATATGAGCTGTGAATTAAGTAATTGAAGTAATTATTATGCCTGGTGGTATAAATATGCTTACTGCCACTAAGAAAATAATGCTTTAATTTTTCTTCTGCAGTCTCGAAATTTTCAGTACGAAAACTGAGATAAAGCTGTGTATCATCTACAAAAGCTTGAAGTTTACAAAGTTCTATTCCATTTAAAATATCTGCAGTATATATAATGAAATGTAATGGGCCCAGTACAGACCCCTGCGGGACACCTGAAAGAATATCAAGTTTGGATGAGTACGAATCATTNTACTCCACAACCCTAGAATATGAAGTCAATATCTTCACCTACTACAAAATGGCGGGACATTTAATAATTTCCTGAAGAAAAACATATTAATATCGATTAATCTAGAAATATTCCTTTCAATATGCCATATAGCGATTCCAACAACCCGATTGTAAATCCTGTAAATCCTGAACAGTCTACTTATTCCATTTCGAATGTTTGTGAGATGTCTCCTTCTACTGTGTGGAGACTTTTAAAGAGAAATAAGTTTCATCCACACAAAATTAAAATAGTACAGCAATTAACTGAAGATGACCCTTATCGAAGAACAGAATTCGGCTAAATCATTACGAAAACCATTGCAAGGCATCCTACCTATCTCCCCAATATTTTTTTTTTATGGATATTGTATTTTAACAAGATGGAGCACCACCACATTACTCTGGACAAGTAATAAACTTTTTGGATACTACTTTTCCCTGTCATTGGATTGGCCGTCCAGGTCCTACAGAATGGCCAGCCCGCTCGCCAGACATGACACCTTTGGACTTTTTTATGGGGTTATTTGAAGCAAAAGGTGTACGAAACTGAACCTGCTTTAATATTGAGTATACGACAAAGAGTCTGCGGAATTCAAAGAAAAAAAATGTTGATGTTTCATCGTTTTCTTCTTTCTTCTACACTAGGCGTATTAGCTTATATGAGCCTGAGGACTTGAAATGATTAATTACAATGAATTCAGTACTTCTCATTACTATTATCATTATTATCAATTTGAACTTTTGACGGATAAGTGTCGATTATTTTGTCAATAATAACCAATGAATTGAATCCGTAAATATTAATTTAAAAAAATGATATATTGAGAAACAAACCTTGAAGAGAGTAGGCAACATAATAGTAATAATACAATCAACTTCATGGTGACCATCACTCACATGAATTAAAAAATGAATGTCAGAGTTTTTAAATACTACGTGGTTTATCTGAACATCTGATATTATTGAAACATTAGCCATATCATGTTTTCCATTCAATTGAAATTACTGTCACGAGTACTTGAGATACATAACCATTATATAATTTGTACATTCAATATTCATGAAATCATCGGGCTTGATTAGCATCATCTAGATGATTTGAAAAACATCAAAACCCGTTGTTATGTGTTCAAATTGTTTTTTGTTGAAAACAAGGATTTTCATAGAAGAAATTAGAACCCAAAACAAACAGCATTATCGAACAGCAGACAAAGCTAATTTGACCTATTATAAATATCATCGGTGGTACTAAGCTGGATCACGAATTCATTGTAGAGCTTGTAGAATATTAGTGTGAATCATCCTGTAAGTCGATAATGAATAGTTTTAGTTTTTATATACTGATATTTTTTCATGTACAGAAGGGTCGGAAAGCTATCCTGAAACATTTCTGAGTCGATATCGCTAACAAAGTCACTGGGTGACGTAAAGCTTTCCATTTTTCCCTTGCGAACGCAAATAATCCAAAAATCTAATTATCTTTTGAAGGCAGTTATTTTGTTGCAAACCTGGAATACTATTGTTTGTTTACCTTGCAATGATACATTCAATTCGTTTCATTTTTTAAAGATATCCGCCATAAAAGAGAGTCGGAAACACCAAGTTTTATCATACAAACGGTCTTTCAAATCAAACAAAGTTTCTGAGAGAAACATTTGTAACTCGACTGTAAGTTCAAATAGCCTTGTTGAAGTTTCAGACAGCCAACGCACTTCTGTATGGAGCAGCAGTATTTATGTTTACTGCCATAATTTTCACGCAATGATGGGATCAATTAGGATTGCTTCATAGATTTGACGGCATTTGCTTCATCGCAAGTGCTTGTCTATGCAGGATATAATAGCTGGAACTACAATTTTTATTCGTGACACTACTCCTGCAGTTTTACTAATCATCGCCTTGACCTCATCTGTAGAAATGTCAATGGAACCGTTCCAACTGAGATTATTTTCTTCAAAAAACATACTTATTTTATTGAACATTTCTTCTCTTTCAAACAGATATCGGCGGTGGCGGCATAGTAGAATTGCATGGTACGTTCACCCAAATGGCTTGCGTCGGATTCTTTGAAGTAGCCAAACGTCGCCTTTAGGCACGGCAGCGGTAGCTTTATCTCCAGCGGTGGCCCGTTTGTGTCGGCTTAACAAATTATACTGTGGTGGGTGGCGACTAAGTTCGGCTGTGTCTGGAATCGTGATTCCTCGCGTCCAAAATGGTCGACCAGAGAGGGTTGTTTTTAATTTGTTCTTAACTATTTGCGGAACCCCTACAGGGGTATTGCGGAACCCTAGGATTTCACGGAACACACTTAGAGAATGGCTGGACTAGAGATGGAATGTAAGGATTGAACAGGCAGATGAATTCGTAAACAGGAAATTTTCATGAAAGGATGAACTGAACACCAGAACTGTAATAACGTGCGTTTCTAAAAATGAAGTAGAGTCGTCTGGAATTTAACCTTCAAACCTGCTGGCTAACTTGCTGTTGAATGTTATCAAGTTATAGAAGTTCTGATCATTCACATTTTCATCAAAGTATTTTGACATATAGTATTGTTTTTTTTTTTGTTATATTTTTCTGAAGAATCTTCGATGTCCGTATATTAGCTTGAAAGATTTCCATCGCCTGTTTTGCTTTCGAAATTTTCCACAATGATATTCATAATCAATCATGATACGTCAATGATAGAGTCTATATCAGCACTCATTGAAGTGTTTTTGCAATGTTATCAAAATATAACGCAATGTGAGTAAATGAGATAAACATAATTCAATCTGTATGCATAGGAAAATTCATTCAATAACATTTTCGAATAAAATTTTATTTTTCACATTAATAGATTCAAACTTATAGAAGTGCACAAGAGCCACATATTTTTATTATTCGTTCCTTGGAAATTATGCCTTGAAACTCAAAATTCATACTTTAATCTCGTAATTTTGCCTTTTCATTTCTATTTACTGTCAACAATTTCTGAGACAAGCGAGATCACAAGAAATCTCAACTACAAACGTCGAACTCCATTTGCCAACCATCACCAATTCGAGGTTCAACTCAGTACACCTCGAACTCCACTGTTTAAGACCTCTTTCATCTGGAGAACTGCATTTTCGTTTCTTGGAAATTATGCCTTGAAACTCGAAATTCGTACTTTAATCTCGTAATTTTGCCTTTTCATTTTCTATTTACTGTCAACAATTTCTGAGACAAGCGATACCACAAGAAATCTCAACTACAAACGTCGAACTCCATTTGCCAACCATCACCAATTCGAGGTTCAACTCAGTACACCTCGAATTCCACTGTTTAAGACCTCTTTCATCTGGAGAACTGCATCTATGTGGAATACTCTTCCTGAGAAGGTTTTTCCAAATGGATTTAATCTCCAGTGATTCAAATCCAATGTGAATCGCTACTTTTGTACGGGTACCGCTCTTAGATCGCCTCAAGGATGTTCCTGTAGTATTTGTGTTGTGTCCAAGAAAAAATACATACTGTAATTGAAGTGTAGACTAATCATCAGACTTGGTAATGCTGCGTGTGACGAAAGGATTCCATAGCCTGTATACACCAGTCATCTTAGTCAAAATTAGGTATATATTTCGGAATTTGAGATACTCAGCTATAAACTCGTATAAACTTGTAATTTGACATCCTTTAAGTTGTCTCAAAACCTAACTGTAGTGGTAGTTTTTGTTGAATCTACTTGTCGCAGAACAAAAAGTAGATCGTTTGCCACTGCCACTTCTTTACCAATTATTATTTAGTCATCCTCGTTCACTATGTTTCAACATGGTTTATTCTACTAAAGAAAGAGTTGCAACCTAGTATCGAAATAATGAATGTGCTAAAGCTGCTGTAAGAATTTATAATACGAATCATCCAGACCACAACGTGGGCCATCAATACTTTCAGGTTTTGTTAAAGAACAAGAAAACATGAAGTATCCCGTCCTGTCAGAAATGACGGAGTTGAAGTTGCAGTTTTAGGACATGTTACTACGTGGTAGGAGATCATGACGAAATGAGAAATGAAAATTTCTATGTTTTTTACCATTTTTATTTATAACTAACGTTACTGCAGTTCCGTCCTATATGGTCTTTCTCAAACTTGTAACATAATTCCGATTTCAGTGAATCTATTCACTTTTAGAACAATTCGCATACCACGATTTTCTTTGTTGAACACTGTATGCCATCCTTCACATAAATCACAACACCCCCGGTTTGCCGATTTGTAGAATCACATCGAATGTGACTGTAACCATCCAGTTTGATTTCTGAATCTTCAATTTCACTAGTTATTCTAGGCAGAAAGGGTCGAGTGGAGTCGCCAGCTAGATCACCTGGTCTCACACCGATGGACTTCTTTCTGTGGGGACATCTGAAGTCGAAAGTGTACTCTACTAAGCCTACAAATGTAGAAGACCTGCGACAGAGAATTGTTCGGGAATGCCGATTTCTGACTCCGGACATCTTGAATAATGTACGGAACGCTTTCGAGAGTAGACTGTATTATTGTATGGAACTAGATGGAGGTCATTTTGAACAATTCATCCGTTGATTTCGTTTCCCCTGATATTATTTATTATTGATTTCCTTATTAGAATTAACGACAGCGAATTTTCTGTTTTTTCTTAAATAAAAGGTTGAGCATTTAATTTCTCAATAACGAATGAACGAAATGAAACGAACGAAAAAATTTACAAAGGTAATAGAGGGACAACAGACCTTTCAAATGATGTATCACTTGACCCCCTATGCCATTAAATAAAATAGGGTGGGTAGTTGCTGATCGAAGGAGGGTGAAGTTTCGGGTATGATTTCCATACTAGAAGTAGTCCCCCTAGAAATAAAAATCGACGCGTTCTTTGAAAATTTCGATTACACGATCGTTTCTGTTTCTGAGAGTCCTGTTTTCGTTGCAACGCTCTGTATTGTAATTGAAGTGTAGGCTAATCGGCAGACTTGGCAATGCTGCAACTGTGACGGCTGGATCCCATAGTCTACTATACCCCAGTCATCTTAGTCAAAATTAGGTAAGTATCTGGGAATTTGAGATACAAAGCTACAAATTCGTATTAACTTGTATTTTGACATCCTCAAAGTTTTTTTAAAATCTACACATGGTAGGGTGTACGCGAATAATAAAATCTAAGGTTGAAGGTCACAAAAATCGATTTTTTGCACATTTTTGCGAATATCTCAATTCTTATGGGTTTTCATTGGTGAAGTATCATTTTTGAACAGATTTTTCATTTTTATTTATTATTTCCATTATTGGATACTTCAGTAACTACTGTAGTTGATTCCGAGACCAGAACAAAGGGCTTATGGTATGAGAAATAAGATACATATGTTTTAGAATGGAAATTAGAAAGATATCTAGAGAAAACTGCATCGATAGTTGTTCCACGTCCTGTGATAAACTCATTTCGATTATTATTCATTTGTAGTTCTAATTTATCCTGTAGAAAGTTTGCCAAGAGATGTCCATCTCCGGACGCGAAGTTAACATTGAAATCTCCTGCTGAAATTAGTGGCAACGTATGATAGAATTCTCCTAATTCTGCAGAGCCCACTTGACCGTAAATGTGTGTTCACACCTCTCTCTCTCACTCTCTCTCTTGCTCCTACAGTAATCTACAGAACATAACTCTCTTCTTTTCTATCTTCACTGACTTAAACCTCCCTCTTAATTTCCGTTCGTCCCGCTCGATTACACTTTTCGTAACGCTCGCGTCACGCTTTCATCAGCTTACGTACTCCCCAAGTCAAGCGTGCGTAAATAAGTTTCATTTTAACAAAAGTTGTAGCAAATTCAATCCTCTACAATATTGATCATGAATACTAATTTCGAAACTCCTACAGGAAACGGGATATTTGCAAATAATGTGCAAAAAATCGATTTTTGTAACCTTTGGCCAGATAGTCGCGTACATCCTACCATATGTGGATTCTGATCCGTGGGTTGGGCTACCTAACGGGCACGTCCTCAGGTGGCGGATAGGGGAACGGACAAGGGACTGGAGGCCCTGCCCGGGAAGCCAATGTGGCCTTACGGACGGGGTCGCTACATTTATTTTACAACCGACAACACCTGCTGCGCTAGGAACGTAAAACATCGATACCATCTCCATCTCTCTTTGACTCGATTATGTCACACGCGTCTCTCGCTCTTAAACACACATACAAATCTTCATATGAAATATTAATTCTTTCCCAAATCTACGTATATTTTTCTATCTTCAACATAATATTGACGGTTACAACTTCTCTAACATTCTACGGAAATCAAAATGCGGTCAAGTATATAAAACGAGTTGATTTCGGTCCCGAAAAAACTTACGCTGTAAATACCCATAAATTGCAGTTACTTTCAATATCTTACGTTGGTGTAGAGGATAAGGACAATGTCTACCACGCAGACGTCCTGGGTTCGATTCTCATAACTATAAATTTTTTTTTTGACGTCATGAAACAAAAATGTGCTGAGCCAAAAGCTGTGCTGAGTTATTCATTCCACAGAAGATTCAAATCTCCCGCCACAATGTTCTGAGATGCAAAAGCGTGTGCTCTGATTGAATGGCGAGTTGCGTGACAGTTTTGTTGGTTAATGTAGTCTACATAAAATTGAAAAGTATATCAGGGAATCACCGATACGGATATTCTAGATGACTCCAAGCGCTGTTGACGTTAAATAAAAACTACATACTTCAGTGATCTACGTGAACCATTGAATCCTTACTTGTTCAGCTAATTCTATCTATTCAAACCTCATTTCTATTCACGGTTTTTGTATTTTCTGTACTATACCAGTAAGTAGACATCTTCACGATTGTCTGAAATTTGAATTATCACTAATTCTGATGAACGGTAGACTGACTAGAACTATTCATTTAAAATTCTCGTAGATTTGGCAACATGGCAACAAGTGCCTTCCACAACCGCTCATTTTCTTCGGAACGGAGCTCCTACTCTTTCTTTCATCTGTCTCCATTTTAATTCATTCATTCCCATTCGTGTTCTAGTTGAGCATATAGTATAGTGGCATTCATAGAGGAGCTTTTGTGTAGTGCCAAATAAAGTATTATCAAGCAAATTTCAACGTGTAGGTGTAATATAATAAGATATGGCTCCCATCTTCCACTGTATATTGGCTGTGTTCCTTGGAATCAACGCAGGTGAGTTGGATATATGTTTAAATTATTAGAAATAAGAGTGCAGTGTGTGATGATGGGTTAATAAAAAATGTTGATAGCGATTTCGCTCACGATTTAAACTAGGTTTCAGCACTGAATATTTATTATTCATCCCTTGAGTGATCAAGTAGGTCAGGGTTTCTGCTAGGGCTGACAAGGTCTAGCTTCTTGGAATAACATTGTGTTAATAAGAATAAAAAGAAGCTTCCACTATTATCTTTAAGAACGTGATTGTATCGTTTCTATCTACAAGGAAATCACACCAATACTAGGTTATTGCTTTTTATTGTGGGCTCTTATGCATTCCAAGTATTTTCAGTCAGTTTTAAAATTGTTTTTCCGGAATAACTAAAAAAAGAGAATATTGAAAAAGTCCAGTTACGTCTGTATTTGTTTCAACAATTCCGTTTGTATTTAAGAGTTGTATATTTCTTCCCCTAGTAAGGGTGGTTTCTCCCCTGAAATATTGAATAGGATGAAAGATCGAGTAAGGGTTTGCCGTTTGGAGATACATTCTTAGTCCAGTCATTTTAGGTCGATTTAGGCCTGTATTTCGGAAAGTTGACATACCCAGCTGTAAATTTGTATAAATTTCGTATTTTGGCATCATAAAAGTGTTCTCAAAATTCACAAATGATTCGACGGCCGCAACTTGAAAAATTGGGGGTCAAAAGTCAAAAAAACCGACTTCTTGCACGTTTCTGCCAATATCTCTTTTCCAATGGGTTTTATGCTAATTGTATTCAATATTGTAGAGAATTAAATTCTCTATAACTTTTGTTTCAAACATTTGTTCATACGTTGAATCGTTTTTGAGATAGAGGACAGCGCGAGCGCAGATTAAATATTATTTGAAATCAACTGGTTGTCCCGATCGAAATCAGTTCATTTATCTCTTGAACAGGAAATTTTCTTTAAAAAAGTTGGCAAAGCAAATGTGAAAACGGAAATATACTCCTTTTAGAGTTTCGACAAATAGTCAAGTTCTAAAAAACTCATTTTGTTCCTTCACGCTTTTCGTATGAAAAAATGTTTGAAACAAAAGTTGTAGAGAATTTAATTCTCTACAATATTGTTAATAAAAACAATTAGCATAAAACCCATTGGAAACGAGATATTGGCAAAAAAACGTGCAAAAAGTCGTTTTTTATTGACTTTTGACCCCCAGTTTTTGAAGTTGCGGTCGTCGAATCATATGTGAATTTTGAGAATACTTTTATGATGCCAAAATACAAAGTTTATACAAATTCACAGCTGGGTATGTCCACTTTCCTAGGCAAACCCCCTAAAATGACTGGACAATTTAGGGTAGATAACATTGACAAAATTATAATCTAATATTACTGGAGTTTTTTCCCAACACCAAAATGTTATTTTTAACACCTCGACACGTGTTTCGATCACCAAGTGATAATTTTCAAAAAGAAAGATTAAACAGAAATCAGAATTCTGCCACTTTGATAATTTCAATTTGAAATTCTACTGCATAACATTCCAGACTCTAGTTTTCCATCAATAAAATGATTCATTATCCCTTCAATTATATGCATACCAATACACATCGCCTCTAGTAAATCTGATACCTTCATATTATCTCGAGTTTTATCACCGATTTCATTAAATTTTATAACTTTATAGTAGTAGTATAACGTACTATTGTTATTTTCATTTTGGTTGGGCTGAGGCCTTNCTTGTACCACATAACGATGAACAATTTTATACATTTTCACAAATTCACAAAGAACGTTCACTATTGATGCCTGCCAAACAAATACTAAACAACGCAGCGTCTTCAAACTTGAAACAGATGCTTTATAGATTGTCTACTTCCTAATACAGCGATATTTTTCACACAACTACCGCCATCTCTTGGTCAGGTCGGGTATTTCTGGGACCACCCTCGTATTTACTTCTCAGATCATACGATGAAAATTAGTAACGCTATAACATCCTTCGATGATTGTGAAAGTCAAGGTAATAAGGGATTGTACATAAACAACATGCGTTGTGGGCTGGTTGTATTCAATAATCTCTAGTTAACACAGAACGAAAATGACATTGAAGTGCAAGTTAATGAATAGAGTTCGTACAAAGAGGATGGAAACGAATTCGTCAAATATATGAGGTTCATATTCCATGAAAGTAATTTTTTGTGGACAAAAATCAGTTTTTCATCGACAATTGTGGAAGTTAAAAATACCCAAAAAAGGTCGATAAAAATGAGGTTCATGTATTTGCATTGAAATTGCACATTTGCACAGAAAAATCCATGATAATAATTATAGAATTTTCATTCTAAATTTTATTCAAGACGCGAGTCGCAATGTGATAGATAGATAGATAGATTTTAATTCGATCAGGTTATGAATATTCATTTGACACAAGTCATAGACCGTTGGTACAAATTAGTGTGCAAATAGAGATAACAATATAAAAGCAGCATAAAAAAATATTATTGAATATACAATGCATTTCTTTAATCTCCCCTCCCCTTTTCTTTTTTGAAAGGAATGAAATTAATGCATGAATACTTCATTTTGAAGTGAAATTGACAGAGGAAAATTTCAAGATGGCGGCTGGGCGCCATCTGGGAATTGAATGATACATCATTTTCGAACTCCTGACAAATACTTCACAACCCTAGAATATGAAGTCAATATCTGTTTGGTCTCAAAATCTTGCTATCAGAATTATTATGTTTTTCAAGTAACTCTTAATTTTTTAGTATTTAGCCTAGAGTTGCCAGCTCTAAAATTTGTCCAACAAAACAGATGTTTTATAGCATTATTTGTCCCTTATGTCCCTTATCTTAGGACTAGCCCGCTATTGTGACTTGTCCTACCTTTAATCCAACCCTCTGTCATCCCTGCAATGACGAATCTGATCCCTTCTCTAACTATCGATGTGAGACATTGCCATTTTTGTAAAATAATTCAGTACATTTCAAACCTTGTAAGAGTACAGTAAGAATTAAATCTTGTCTTGTAACAGTACATCCAGCTGGTTATTTTTCTTATCCTATCGTTTCACAAGAGTTCTTGTAATTCTTGTATGCATTGAGCATTTCATACTCACATCCTAGGTCAAAACAATATCTTCACCTGGTACAAAATGGCGGAACATTTGATAATTTCCTGAAGTTAAGTTATTTTTTGTTTATAAAAACGACAAAAATGTCAGTACGACAATGAACATCATTGCTCAGTTAGAATATTCTCATTTAGTTTTCGGTTTTCCCAATATCCAGAAAAAATTAACGTTTGGGCAGGAATATTGGGAAACCGTATTGTAGGACCTCTATTTATTGATCAAAATTTGACAGGGGAACTGTATTTGAATATGCTGAAAACTACTGGTCATTGGATTGGCCGTCGAGGTCCTACAGAATGGCCTGCCCGCTCGCGAGATTTGACACCTTTGGACTTTTGATGGGGCTATTTGAAGCAAAAGGTGTACGAAACTGAACCTGCTTCAATATTGGCAGAGAATAATAAATATTTGTAGAGATATTGACGTTATTGTATTCGAAAATGTTCGGTGTGAAATATTTCATGCTGCTCATCTGTCAAGGCAACCATTTTGAGCATCTTCTGAACTGATCTCAAGCTCACTACCTCATATTATATAGGTAAATGTCAATGTATTTTGTAATATTATTAAAAACTGAAAAATAAAAATTAAGAGATTTCAAACCAAGTTAATTCACGACGTTTCGATTGTCAGTATCCACAATCGTCACAATACTCACCTATAGCGTCATCTGCCGGCAAACAGATCAAGCAATAATCGATCGTTACGTATAGCGCCATCTGCCCGCGAATAGATCAAGCAATAATGCCGATAATTCTGTCAATATAGATCATGAGCTTGAGAGTTAGAAACAAACATACATACATACAAACATACATACATACAGGTGAAGCTAATTAAAAAGCGCGTAATGTAAAAAATTAAGGCTATTTAGCTTCATCTGTTGATCAATTAATGAGTATGATAGAAAGAGAGAGTGGCGACATACTTAAATCGTTTTTTTTCAGTCCAAGGCCTGAAATGTTACAACTGTAACTCAGAAAATAGCGTCCAATGTAAATGGGGATTCACTTCTTTCACTTACAATACCGAAGAGTGTGGCAGTGCTGGAGTTTTTGACAACGTGATCGGACCAAAATGTTATAAAATAACAGCTGAAAGTAAGTACTAACATTATTGTATAGTGATATAGGCTGTTCACGTTGAGAAGAGAATGACGTCATTTTTGGTAATTTTGTATATCCAACATAACAACGTTAAAATTCTCACTGAAATGCGTTCAACAGCAATGAAACTAGTAACATTTCATTTTGTAAGTTTCTCAACTGAAACTGTCAGTCTTTCTTTTCTTTTCAGAACTAATACTTCCTTTTAATAAAACCTGCGTATATACAGTATGCCTAAAGCATTGTCGAAATAGTCTCAACAAATACTTAAAGTAATTTAATAGTAAGTAAGGATAATAGCAAAGAAACATATCAACAGTATAAAAAAAAATTCGAAGTAGTGCACATGTTGGCAACGCCGTAACTTGTCATCTTGTGACGTCATTCTCTTCTTAACGTGCACAACCTATATCAATAAACCCTAATACATTTGGGTTACATTTTATTAGATTGTTTCAAAAGTTTTGTCTGTTTTCATGAATCTAGTTTAAACTGTACTATTTCAGTGAATACTTATTCATTTTATTCGAAATAAGCGCCATTTGAATCAGTACACTTTTGCCAACGTAACACAAGTCGACTTTGTCGAAATTATTCGTTTTCATTTGTTTCAAACTATCGACATTGTTTTCAAACTTTGACTCCAACCATAACTTAGTGAGTTTACGACTGAATATCCAGTCCATAAATATCCTGACCAAAACTAACCTTGTAGAAAATTATATATTAATTAGCCTGAATTAGCCCATTATAGTATGTTCTATTATAATTCAGTACATAGAAAAAGTGCTTAACTTAAAAAGTCGTTTTTCAAAATTTACTAAATAACATATTATTGTAAATATTTTCGAAATCAAAAGCAGCAATGAAATTGGACATCTTTTAGAAAGAATTCTATAAAATTTTATTCTTCCAATAGCTCTTTCGATATATATTCTGGCTTTTGCAATTATTTTTGTCCTTTTCTCTTTTCCTTTTCTCTTCAGCTGTAAGTTATATCTCTTTCCATCAAGAACGGAGCTATATACACTTTAACACCCATTTCATCACTCAAATGTCGAATCAAAAAACGTCTGTCAAAAATGATCACTACAGTAAACAATATCTCCACTAGGACAAATCATTACATAGAATTTAATGTTATTTGAATGTTTATAAGAAAAGAAAGTATTTCCTTGATGTCTGAGATTGGAAGGAATTTCCATAGATAATTCAGTTGCATCTAGAACAAAATTAACATTTTCACTATCAAAGTTTTTGAAACATAATGGTACCCCTTGTATTTTTTTACTTTCAGAAATCTGATCCCCACGGATGCTAATTATTTGGTGATACATAAATTGAAACCAAGTAGAAAATACCACAACTACATATGATTTACTTAAATAATAAAAATATGACATTTCTACTAGAGTAAATCCTCTTCTCAATCTAACGAGTGTTAAGAACAATAATTTATCTTTATTAGGTATTTTGTCCATATTGTCTCCAACCTGTTTTTTATTGTATATCAACGACTTATTGGGAAAAAAAACAAGAATTCAATATATTGCTTTGCTGACGACAGCATACTTTTGTTACTTCTCATGTGAAAAACTAATTTCCACACTTTTTTCAAGTAAAAAAGGTACACTTCCTTAACAACGCTGGAGGTGATCGTTTTCGAGATATTTACAATTTTCTATGTTGATGCTTATTACTTAGCTAAGTGAAATTACTGAGAACATTACAAAAAGTAAGTATGTGGTGGATCTCGTCAAAATAAACTTCTTCCTGTGAAATGTTTATCGAAAAATCATTCGTTTTCGAGATAAAAATAACTAAAATTGCAAAAAACTTATGACTTTTGAAAAATTTCAACAATTTATCTCGAAAATGAATGATTTTTCGATAAAAATTCAATTGGAAAAAGTTTATTTTGACGATATCCACCACATACTTAGTTTTTGTAATGTTTTCAGAAATCGTACGCAGCGTCCTCTAGATGTTACATGAAAATCAATACGAATTTATGATTTCCCACGTCAAAAAACCCCGGTACCAAATTTCTTGCAAACACTTATTTTTCGCAAAAGTTATATTTAAAAAACGAACAAAAAATTCAATTTCAACACCCTGTATCTCCGAAACGAGGCATTTCCGGACACAAGTTTACATAGACTTTTTTCTTGAAATTGTTTCAGGAATACGTCACTTGAATATCTTAACGTACTTATGTTACACCTTGTATACAACAGTAAGTTTCCTAATTTGTTAAATATACGAAATTCACCTACCCGGTGACTGAATACATTGAATGTAGGACGAAATATGGATCAGAAACTATGAAAGTACTTAACAAACTTAAATAAATTCAAAAGAAAGTTCAATACAACTGACTTATTAATCATATCGAGTGGTCCAACGAAAAGTATGCACCTTGCTTTTCTCCTTTTTTTGTAACTTAACGCAAAAATGCTCGGACAGGTCAATTTTACTTTTGAGGGGGACACATTTGAGATGTATTTTTCTACCTGTGCCTTCAACCCCCTAGCGAGGGTGAGTAACAACCCTAAAATTTTGAATGGAAAAAGGGGTCGAGTGATATATAATTTGAAAGGGCACAAAATTCTCTTTCCAATGATACCTAATTTGTTGTATTTACTTGAATAGTTATAAAAAAAGCAAGAAAATTTACTCGATATTTTTGGTGTTAATGAAAATGNATCTAAAATGTGTCCCCCTCAAAAGCAAAATTGACCTGTCCGAGCATTTTTGCGTTAAGTTGCAAAAAAAGGAGAAAAGCAAGGTGCATACTTTTCGTTGGATCATTCTGTATATCAATGACAGTAACTTGACAATTCTTGTTAGAAAAAATACAATGTGTACGAAAAAAGTTTAACAAATTCAGAAAATGAACTAATTGGTCAAAAGTCAATGAGCAGGTAAATAATGGACAGACAGCAGGTAAATTTTGAATATGAATAAAATTGTTGGCATTATGAAAAAATAAAATGGTGAGTGGTTAACCTCTTGTTGGAAATAAAGTGTCTTCAAAAATTAAAAAATTATTCAAATTCTCAGTTGACTCAACAACCGTTCTTGAAAAAAGCAACGATGCATTTTAATGAAATTGAATGTGTTTATTGCCAAGTATTTTATCTTTACCACAGCTGACATCATTTCATCACGAAATATGAGTTGTTTGTAACTGTAGCTAAGCAAATTCAGCAAAATAATCCAAGGATGTGAGCGATATGTGTTATGACTATATTTTATGGTTATTCTGTTTACTTAATGATTAGGCGGAGGAAGTTGATATTCAAATATCGGCACCTCTATAATGACAAATCAGTTTTATACAGGACGTTACGAAAATGTATTTTCTCACATGGAAATTCAACTTTGAAGTCAGACTGCATTTTTGTTTTCTGTATACTATCTGTTGATCCCATAAGCTAAGTACCCTAAGCTGAGTTAAGTGCCCTAAACTTTCCGCAATGTATGATAAACTGGATAGTATACATGACAGTACTATATTTGTTGGTGAAATTCAATGATGTTGATTCCAGAAAATATCATGTGAAACTGGGAGTCCCCCAGGGGTCAGTACTGGGACCACTTCTTTTCACCATTTTCATTAAAGACCTACCTACACATGCAAAGGCTCACATAACTATGTATGCTGGACGACACTACAATTACAATACTTAACAATGATATTGTCGAATTGAAAACTGAAGTAATCAGACTTGTTGAGGAATTTTGATCCTGGTGTCAACGTAATTCATTAATGCCTAATGTAGATAATACAATGAATATAAATCTCCATCTTCGACTCTCAAAAATCATAAAATAAACTTCAGGACAAGAAACGAATCGAGGACAAGAAACGCGCTGTGTAATTCGTTAGAACAAAATAGATACAGTTACAGATGATACATCCATTTAAGAATCAGGATGATGGAAGCAATATAATAATCCAAAATAATTTCTTCTTCTCCGAGGATCCTTATAATCTCTCTATATACTGCGTGCCTCACGGTCGATGGTAGGTTAGACGTTTCTGGAAAACGCAAAGCATGATTTTTCTGAAAATTTCACCTCTCACATTTCCTTACCTGTTCTATCGATCTTAAATATTTTCAGCATTGCGGCGTTGCCACTTCCATCAAAAAGTCCTAGCAACTTAATTTTTTTTAATGGAACACCCTGTATATTAATACATTTTTGGAATCGCTCTGGTATTTTAATACTTTTTTGTTAATAATGTCCTATACCTANGGCTATGTTTTGGACCATATTTAACACAATTTATTTTTTATCTCGAAAACAGATAGAGATAGGTATAGGACATTACTAACAAAAAAGTATTAAAATACCACCGTGAGTCACGCTGTATATACTGTATACTATAATCTCTCCTCTTCTTCAGGTAAAGATGGCAGGGAATATATTGCAAGAGGATGTCTACCACCAGCCACTTTTGGTTGTTCGGCTATGGCAAAAGCAGTTGGATGGTTATCCTCAAGCACAAGCAATGACCCCCATAGCTTGGAAAACCTCAGCTGTGAAACTTGCGAAACTGATAAATGCAACTCCGCTGAAAAAGTTGTCGCTTTCACCTTCATTGCTCTGATTTTGTCCGCCGTCGCATTTTTGGTCTAAATGACGAAAAAACATTCCATTTAATCATTGCTATGTTCTATTGTTTTTGCTTGATGACAGTGGAAGAGAAAGTGATCGAATGTGAGGACAAATTACTCTTCAAGAAGTTACCATTCCTTTGTAACATATTTAATCTAGAGCTTGTTTATATAAAATGTTAGGCTTTAGGTGATCTCATCAGATAGTGGTCACTTTATCTGATGGAATTCTTACGATTAGTAGCTTTAACATGTAAGTTGGATGTGTACAACAGTTTCAAAATATTTAAATGTATTTTTTTACGAATTGAGAACCAATTGATCCTTTTTGAGGTACAAAACTTGAGGTTGTAATGCAAAATCAAATAATTGATGGGTTGTGAATGAAGTGTAAATCTTGAATGTCACCTTTTCTACGGTATTAAAAGAACCCCAGTGTTAGGAAATCGTTTTCAGTAGATTCATTTCATGCCAGATGTTCCAGTAAAAAATATCAAATCGATAGATTGATGTAGATCTGAGCAAAACCTTCACAAGAAAAGATTCTGAATCAAAATTGCTACTACTTCGGTTGGTCACACGACCAACATACTATAAATGAACCATTCTGAAAGTTGAACAGAAAACGTCAAAGAATGCAGCTGCTTTATCCAAAATTCCGATGATTTCATCCCATGTACCATGTCCCAGTTGAATTGATTTTCAAAATTACTTTACTCATGTAGGTCCCAGTGTAAAAAAGAGTGACATCAAGGATAATCTTCCTAAATTGACTTCCCAAACAATTTTGATTGAAACTGTTTCGTTAGTAGAGTACCAAACTTTTGTATGTTTTTATTGATTGTATTAAAGTATAATATTAATAATGATAGCGTTTATTGCCCAACAGTTCCCTATTTGAAGAGCAAAGTATACATGATTGATAGAATTTTTTTTATACCATTTGAGACTTGTGATGCACTGTTTGGAACCTTTGGTGTAGTAATAAATATTACTGGAGTTTTTTTCCAACACCAAATCGTTATTTTTAACACCTCGACATGTGTCAAACTGTTTTAACTTTCCTCTTTGAAGATGATCACTTGGTGATCGAAACACGTGTCGAGGTGTTAAAAATAACGATTTGGTGTTGGGAAAAAACTCCAGTAATATTCATTACTACACCAAAGATTCCAAACAGTGCATCATAGGTACATTCATAAATTATTTATTTATTTTTCAGTACAAAGATACAGTACCACTCATGGGTCGATCAGCCATATTGGGTGACCAAAGGAATAACTATTTCTGTGATGTAGCTTGTGGGAAAGCGGATTCCGCTGATAGTACATATGTAATTACTAGGTCAGGACTGCTCTGCGAATTCAATAATAGAAGACTTTTAGATAAATGGGTAGAATTAAGGGTAAATTTATCATTGGATTTCGAAGATTTACTAATGATACAAATTCGTTTTTATAGACTTCAAGTGCCAACTGTATTACTGTAGGTGAGAAATATATTTTTGTGGGATGTGCCGAGGGTATTATTAGGTGTTTTGATCCTGCAACGCTTAGATTTGTTACAACTCTTCCTAGAAATCACTATTTGGGTGTAGATGTTAGTCTCGGAACAAGCATACAGTAAGCTAAAAAGAATGTAATACCTTCATGAGTCTGATTTCATTTTTCTTCTACAGACATATGGCTACACCACCACCCGATGCCAAATANNNGTGCAAGAGAGTTCAAGATTATCAGCATTTATAAAAGTTCATGTTTGGTAAAAAAAATTTCGAAATTAATTTATATCTTCTAAACGGTAATAGATAGGTATAGGGAAATAGTATATGGGGTGTTCCATTTGAAAAATCAAAGAAACCGCTACTTTATAGTAGAAGCGACAACGCCGCTTCGTCTTAAATATTTTAGGCGTGTAGGTCATATTGACTTATGCATACTATGGAATTTTCAGGTTGAATTTCAGGATTTCAGAATTTCACGAATAATGAAATGAACTGTTCTCATTAAAATTAGAAACAACAAAATAGAAAGAACGGCACATCTAGTATCAAAAACATTCATTATCAAAGCTCTTCAAAATAAAAAAACAATCTCATGTAATTAGAATTCCGTACATGAGAGTTCAAAATACCTAATTAAAGTGGCAATCTCCTTAATCACTTCCTGAAATAATAATTTTATTACGGTTCTGTGGACTGAATATATTTTTCACTAAAATAGTTGCAAAATTTCAATGAAATTCCTATTTTCTACAGATGTCAAATTTTTCTTAGAAGTGCCACTACTCAACGCTAGATGCCACTGGCTAGTGCATCTAACGTTTTTCTACAGGATAACAATTGATCTCTATTCTGTGGTTTTTCAACAGAATAGTTTTCACAGACATTGACCAAAAAATACTTAGTATTCTGTGCATTGACCAACTGTCTCATTTGTCTCCTACTATGATTAATGCAAACTCCATGAGTGGACTGAATAAAAACTGCATCTGATCGCCATCTGGAACTGGGAGGTCGAACGTATTTTCGATGATATTCTTTCGAATTCATGAAGTGACCTTTTTTCAAGCAACACTAAATTGATTCTGAATTAGTCTGAAAATTTTTCTTTTTTTATAATACAGTACACCATTTTCTGTTTTTCATTTAAATTCACTTTCACAATTTTTAGGCAGTTTGTCGACTAGCAAATCTGTCAGTGACTAAGTAAATGATATTTTTTTCGACATATGGATACAGAGTCGTCTTAAGTATTGTTAAAATTTTACAAAATAATTATAGGTCTTCATCTGTGTGTGTGGTAACAGAATATTCAGCCAAATCAAGTGAACAGTGTGTCAAAGCTCTTTTTCGGGTTTCTTGATCGTGCTCTGCAGGATTTTATGCCTGTCGGAAGAAACACAAATACGAAAAATCTCAAAATTTCTGTCAGAGAGTTTGAAGGGGGCGGTAGAAATTTATAGATACAATTTCAATCGAAAGAAAAAAAAATTGCACAAGGGAAATGTGGCCACCTGTTCTAAACTGCCCGCCAATCAGGCCTTTCAATTCAACCAATTGTAGTAGAGTAGCAGTAGTAAAGTATGAAGTATTTGCTGCTCGAGCATTTCGTCTGTTTTCGTATCGCCTTTGCTGATGTATATAAGATCCTCATTGTATCACTCCACTCAATTTCAAATTTGATCGTTTTAGTGCAAGAGAGTTCAAGATTATCAGCATTTATAAAAGTTCATGTTTGGTAAAAAAAATATCGAAATTAATTTATATCTTCTAAACGGTAATAGATAGGTATAGGGAAATAGTATATGAATTTGTTGACAAAGTGATAATGAATCATAATATGATATTATATATGAGGTGTTCCATTTGAAAAATCAAAGAAGGCGCTACTTTATAGTAGAAGCAACAACGCCGCTTCGTCTAAAATATTTTAGGTGTGTAGGTCATATTGACTTATTCATACTGTGGAATTTTCAGGTTGATCCGTTGAATAGTCTGCCAGAAACGGCTAATTAACGCTCATCATGAAAAGCCCTGTATACTAGTAAAATGAAATGATATTATCTAATCATGTACACTGAATTCAAGTATTGTATCTGTCAATAAAATCGGAAACTACTATCCTAGGTTGAGAAAAAATGAAGTCTTAATTTTTTTCAACAAGTGAATTTTTCGTTAAGTACGAATCTCCGCAGTTACGGAGCCAGGTAAGTATATAAGAGTGTTAGAAAATTGATTTTTGTGTCTGGGGAATAACATGATCATTTTTTCTGCGGGTGTTGTGCAAGTGAGTCGGTAGAGCGAAATTTCTGTGCTTATGGTAATGGATGGTACTATTATAATAAAAGAGCGAATATCAAAAAACTTTTGCTACATTGAACAGAGTTTCAGTTGAATAATAAGGCGGTTTGGACAATATTAATTTCAGGATTTCAGAATTTCAGGAATAATGAAATGAACTGTTCTCATTAAAATTAGAAACAACAAAATAGAAAGAATGACACATCTAGTATCAAAGACATTCATTATCAAAGCTCTTCAAAATAAAAAAACAATCTCATGTAATTAGAATTCCGTACATGAGAGTTCAAAATACCTAATTAAAGTGGCAATTTTTCTGTCAGAGAGTTCAAAGGGGGCGGTAGAAATTTATAGAGACAATTTCAATAGAAAGAAAGAAAAAAATTGCACAAGGGAAATGTGGCTACCTGTTCTAAACTGCCCGCCAATCAGGCCATTCAATTCAACCAATTGAAGTAGAGTAGCAGTAGTAAAGTATGAAGTATTTGCTGCTCGAGCATTTCGTCTGTTTTCGTATCGCCTTTGCTGATGTATACTGCAGTAGTAGACGAAACGTCGGGTATAAAAACCAGCTGTGGAAGTTTACACCCTTTGGGTATTTTTAAAGCTCCGTCACGCTGGAACCCGCTTTGAAAAAAATCTACCTTTTTCAGCCTACTTTACCTACAAACGATACTAATAAATGTAGTAATATTCATTTTTTTGTAGTTTTATCGGTTACTGAGATAGCACCATTGATATTATTCAAACTACGAAATAGAAGTGATAATGCGCTAAAAGTTTTGAAATAGGTTATACATTGATTGTAGTTTATTGTAGTAACAACACACTATCAATTTATTTCATATTGAAGTATAGCAAAAAAACTACGATAACAAGATTTCAAATCATAAAATGACAATTGTTCTCAAACTACAAATGATGGAGTTGTTTGTGGTTGAAATTAGATGTTTGTAGTTAACATTAAACACATCAGAAATGAAAGAAATAAAATCGAGTATTTTTCAACTAAACTAACTTAATATAACCTATCCTAACCAACATATGTAACCTGAAATCTGAAGTAAAAACTAACGTATTTTAGAATGATTCATTTGGAAAAAAGTATCTAACCGGAATTCCAAATTCAAAAAGGAACTCATGTTAGTATGTTGAAGATAATTCTTAATCCTGAACACGTAATATGTAATAATAGTTTCTCCTAAAATATAATCCATGTACAGACACCACACAGTTACACTTTTATTACTAAGTATTGATTTTTGAAACCGATTTTTATTGATTGTTGAATTAATTAACCGAGATTCATTGAAAAATCCGCTGCGATTAATTCGCAACGACCTGAAAACATTCACAATGTAACTGGGTGCCTGTACACGGATCATATGCAACCGATTGAGACATCCCAAAAATAGAATAAAAGCGTATCGAATAAAAATAAAACAAAATACTTTCATCGGGTAGGCAGTTCAATGGGTGCCAGATTTATTATACAATACCACCTAAAGCAGCGTTCCGTAACAGGTGTCTTGCGACCTGGTAAGTGATCTCGAAAGATGAATGAATTCGTGTGGGGTCCAAAAGTCAGTGGTGGCGAGGGCTCAACTACCTAAAAATATGTAAAAACATGTTTTTGGATCAATCAATCCACAATCATTTACTCGGAGAAACCACAGTTTACATAATAATAATCAGGTTTGTTTTTCTCACACGATCTTCAACTTTATCTTAGTCTAATTAGTAAATAAACAAAGAAAAATTCCATTTGAGATGGTTGCATATGGGCCCCGTTTTATTTTTCAACTTTAAAGTCCCCTCAGTATAATGCCATCAGCCTTTACGTGGTTCAATACGCTGCCAAATGTAGAAAAAAAATCACAAGTGACAAAGTATTTCAAGATTGTGTTGAAACTATGCTTTTACAAAGATGCTGTTACAGTTACCAAGATTTTTTAATTGACAATCTCACAAACAATCAAATTCACAGTTGACGTATATATGCTTAGTTGTATATGTGTATGTGTGTATATTTGTATGTGTATGTATGTGAATATATGTTTNTCAATTTCTATTTCCTGTAGCGTTTATGAAACGATTTCACTACCGATTTCAAAAAAATGAAAACAGTGATTCATTGTTGACGGTAGATAATTTAATTCTCACTTCTGGGTAGGTGCTATTATAGTAACTGGACTTTTTCTATAGAAATTATCAAATTAGCAGAAAATTTCAAAACATTATAATTACTTATTTTTTTTTTTTGTTATTTAATTGTGCGGCATCAACTTCATTGTTACCAGCCGTTTATTTGACTCACGACAGTAACTATCAATTTTCGAGGGTTATGTACCGTATGCCTCTCAAGTAAAAGTATTATACCATATAACGTATAATATACCATATACCAATTTACCCATTTTCACAAATTCACCGAAAAATTTCACTATTGATGACTGCCAAACAAATACGCAGCGTCTTCAAACTTGAAACAAATGCTTAATAGATTGTTTACTTCCTAATACAGTGATATTTCCCGAACAACTACCGCCATCTCTAGGTCAGACCAGATACTTCAGGAACCACCCTCGTGGAATAGTGAGTTACTTCACATATCCTCCCCTTTCATGCCTCAAAAATTTGTTTTTATGAAAGTAGGATGAAACGAAAAAAAATATAGTTCGACGTTCTATAATAGCGTGTTTTTTAGTTTTTTTAAACTATATTTATTTTTCATTTTTTACTTTCGTATGCTATAAAAGCGTGTTTTTTAGTCTTTTTAAACTATATTTATTTTATATAAACTTTGGGATCAATCAGCCGTATATTGTTTAGAAAAATGACCATTGATATTTTCCGATTCCGGAGAGGGAGCCTGAAAATCAGCTACCAAGCACAAGGCAGCAGGCGCG